AAAGGACTAAGATATTTCACAAAGTAAACATCCAACGAAATGATGTGGGACTGGGTAATTTTTGACATGAAAAATTGGCCTGGAGGGACTTTGTATTCCGGTACACCAGGCTAAATGATGATGCTTTCATAACTGGATTTGAAAGAGATTTGTATATGTCGCTTTGTGCTTAAGTATGTACAAAACGTGGTAGTTGTATGATTTATTAGTTGTAAATTTCACTTTCATTCATCGTGATTTCAAAAATACAAAATTACAATAATTAGACAGGAGATATGTATACCCCTTATACAATCAAATAAGTTACTGCAAGCGTAACCTTTACATACATGGAACAATTGCATTAACACATATTTGCTCCATAAAACAGCCGTTCATACTTCACTTGTATTTACCATTTGCCTGCTTTCGATTATGCCGTGAACTTAAACTACACCCGTAGTCATCACTATAATTTATCATAACCGTTTTCAAGAAGCAAATCAATATAGCATTATCTACTATTGCCGGCACCTTAATACCACCAAAATTAAGAATATACTCTGCAGTCACTCAGACTATTCTGGATGTTACCGAGCACAATGGAAGCGAAACCCTTTCCCGCCAATGCAGAAATTAGTCCTTCCCCTTTGCTGTGAGTACTCTCCTTGAAATGTTAGGGGACAGGCTACCATGGTTACTGTAAACAATGTTAGTACAAAAGTTACAGTATTGCAATACTTTATAAACAAATGCGGTGCACACCTTTTTATTATTGCAGCCTTACTAATTATTCCTAAGTCTCGATAGCCACTTGGGCCAAGTGATTACCATTATGGTCAAGGTCAAACTCGATGCTGTCTCTGGCTTGCAACCGGATTCGTTTACAAAACTTGAATAATGTCTTCTAAATGTGTGTCTTGTAGCAATGGCGTCACCTCTTGTTCAAAAGCTTTCCAATGCTCTTTTTGTAACGAATGGCTGCGCATGGTTTGTCGTGGCATCAGCGCAGGACTCTGCCGTGAGCTTCAGCTGTGTACCTCCCCGGTTATCAGCTTTCAGTGTGACACGCGCCGAACTGCAAGAAGCAATAAGCACCTTTCCCATGATCGCCCGGCTCTCCTTCTGCGTTCTTGTTAAGCCTAGTCTGGGGCCTCCACACATGTCGGGCTTACGCTTTTCTATCCAACGCTTTCAGGTGCAAGCGCCTCGCGACGGCGAAGTAGACACCTTTCCGATACACCTGCGACAGCACCAAAGACTCCTAGACGGGTCAACGTTCCTCAGCCGATGACATATGCGTCTGTTTCGAGAAAGAGCGTACCAACAATGTCGGTCTCCCCAAACACAGCAGTGGGCAAAACGACCGCTTAAAAGATACAAAGTCTAAAACACCACCAAAGCCTACTTCATCTCAACTACGATTGGTTTTGGACAGAATGACACAGCTGGAAGATATGATCAATGCTAAACCCAGCACACCAAAACCACCTAACTCTGCTGAAAACAAGCGTCCCTCCCGTAAACGGTGTCTGATCATCGCAAATACTCCGGAGTCTAATAGGGCGACACTAGCAGCAAGAATACAGGACGACCAAGCATTCTTAAAGCACATGGCCCTTCTTCTAGTCGATAGTGGGTAAAAAGGGATTAACTTTGTCTCTGCATTTCGCCTTGGGGGAAAGCGAGATGACCCCACCAACTCCCGTCCTCTCAAAGTTGTCTGTCATGATGAAGAATAGTGCCGCCGTATCCTTGGACGGACCCCACGCCTCAAGGGAAAACAATGCCATGTTCTCAGAGATCTCATTGCAGATGATCGAACCAAAACGAGGAAAGCAGTTAACGAACTACGATCCCGTAGTGCAAGCGGCCAGACAAGCTTGCACATAGTGGATTTACAGGTAGTGCAGCAAGTACAGAGGACCAGCTATAAGCCACTGTTGGTTCTCCCCAGTGTAAAGTGGCCCTCAGTGCATCAAAAAGTCAAAGTCTGGGCCTCGATCAGAAATTCATTATTCATAGAACGCAAACTCATTTTATATCTCGAGTCAATTAGAATCATTCGCAAAACAAATCTCCTTTCTATTACATTCTCAGCCAGCGTTCGAGTTTCGTTCAATGTCGATAGAAATCGATTGCATGCTAACCTTCAGTTCGCCTCTGCAGCGATTGACCAGCTTTCAGACCGTTGACCCAAAATCGTTAAGCTCGACCGATCGCTATGCAACGGGCATCTAAATGTAGTGTCATACCATCTCACCCAGGACTTAAAAACCAGGAGGAAGAATGAACTACAGGTGATGTTTGTACACGTTCGCAGCCTCCAAAACAAATTAGACGAGGTACACGCTTTCACCGCAAAGCTACGCACTTGGCCTTCACTGGGTCCTGGCACACTTCAGACAACTCCGACTCTGTGATCTACATCTCAGGAAGCCAACTTTTCCGTACTGACCGATCTGGAGCAAGAGCTGGGGGAGGCGTAGTTCTCTACTGGAGAGAGGATCTTAAAGTTCATCTCGTAGAAGCCGTCAACGACGCTGCTGGGGGCGCAGAACTGCTCTGGTTAGGAGCAATGCTGGTTTCAAATCTCTTATAATTGGCGTTGTCTATAAAGCCCTGTGGAGACTTGTCGCCTCTGTGCTAGGCTCTATCAAATCGCATGGACACCTCAGAGATCGTCTTATTGTGTGTGACTTCAATGCCCCGGATGTCAATTGGGAGCTACTACACTATCGCAGAATTGAGTCTTCTACCGCTAATAGGTAAAAGCGACCATTGTACCATCTCCTTCTTATGGACTAAACGTCTAGCTATCCGAACACGCAGCGCCCACCATCGAAACTTCTGACGGACCGACACATTAAAGTCAACCGCGGCAGCGAGTACGCTGGACTGGAATTGTCCATAACACTTGGAACTAGATGCTGCTTGGTACGATCTATTCTACGAGTTGAAGCTACTAATTGAGGAGGTCGTTCAATTCCACAGTAACAGGTCTAGATGTAAGGGTCCCCCTGGATCGACCGAGAACTCAGGGCCAACCTGAGACAAGGACGAAAACTATGGGACAGATTCAAACTATCCCGATTAGACTCAGACTACTTCAATTACAAGGTCATCAGGAACTTCTGCTTCCTGCAGAAACTTGAAATAGACAACGATACTAGCATAGCCTGGCCGAACAATACCTTTCTACGCCTAAGAAACTATTTTCTTACTTTAACAGATCTTCCAAGGCGGGCTGTGAAATTCCTGCATTGTCTACTACAGAACCATGGTGCTGACGCCAAAGCTGGCCCTTTGGCTCTGCAGTTCTCCTCAATGAATAACTCAACAAGCGAGCGGAGATTAGAGAGACAGACGTTCCAGGAAAAGATAGGTTGGAGAGTAAAGTAGTGGCTCCTTTAAAGCTACAGATTTGCACCGGAGTATTCGCCTTAGCTTGGTATCCTCTTAAGCTCTTCTTAGTTGCACAAAAGCGAACGGATGTTGACACTGATGCAACTGGGTACACTCATGGGGTTGGGTTTTCTCCAACGAAGTGCAACCTGCCAGCCCGCTCTGTGGGTTCTTTCGAACTACTTCATTTTCTTTTAATTGTTTTCATGTGTTCCGTGCAGGCTAACAAGAAAACATGCAACGTCCTGAACGAAAACATGCACAGACATTAAAAGAATCGCGAGATTGGACGGTCAAGCCAGACGGCGCCAAATAAAAAGACAATGACGTAAAACGAAGGGGTAAAACTAGTGAATGTGGGCATGTGTGTTGATAAACCTGGTGGAGCGGAAACACAACGCCCGACCGAATTTGATGGCGTCGCCTTCTAATATGAGTCTCAGGGTCGTGGATCAAACCTTGTGTCGAAAAGACGTGCTTTATCCCACCCAGTTTTGCTTAACTGTATGAATTCGTTACCCTAGACCACCGTCGTTACCGCGTGGAGCTGAAAAACAAGGCAAGCATTCTAAGGGGAGGATTATACTCGGCGTTGCACGTGGTCTTTGAGATATACGTATGTGGTTAGACAGGGGGTCAACGTCAGAAACAATTCAAAACTAGGAGTCAACACTTTAGCTCCGCCATTACCTTAACCCTACAATTCATGGACAAATGGTTCAAGCAGCAGTAACCTAGCGGAGAAAATTATTACGCAACGCTTGATTAAAGATTTGCTGCGCAAGCCTAGTTTTCGATGGTTTTACTGAAGCTTTAACTCTTCTGCACGGAACACATCTTAGAAACCACAGGCATCATTAATCCATTAAAGATGATGATGGTGCTGTCCCAGGTTTTCTCTCTAGCATTACACAGCGCACTAGAGTGGAAGCCGTTGAACACAGACATATAAGCAGGGATTATAAATAAAGGTGGTGTGGCGGTGCACTAAAGAAAATATAAGGACGCCAAGCGCACGCTCGCAAATCGGTCGGCAACAGTAGTATTTGTAAATGACTGTGAGATGAAACGTTTTTAATATTAGGACACACCGCCGACATACACATTTGTGTAAGTGAGGTATCGCATTGGACAGCACAATTCCAATGTTTCGATGGCATCTGCTTTAGGTATAGAGTTGTAAGCGTATAAAGGAGATGAATCAAGATATATGGTTGCGACAACTTCCCAGTAATCATCCAGCTATTAGTAGCACATTCACATTAGACGAAGAAACATCCAAGCATTCCAGAGGCCTCACCGAATCCAACAAACGACAAACCTTAATGTGAACGGCCCTGACTAGGTTAACGACATTTGTGGTGCATTATCTTATACAGGCAATCACGAACTCATCCTTTAAAACAGAAGTTGCTATAATGCACCAATTGCTTAAAGAAATAGTCACTTTTATAAGTTACTAAGCATGCTGACGTATATTACGCCCCTAATTTGACTTTTATTTACGTAGATTTGTCGTTACAAAAAGTAAACAATTGTTAACTGCTTCACTTACATGTTGATTTCGTTTACTTGTCCTTGGCAATGTTTCAAAAATTCGCATCTGTGTGCCATAAATGCGCTACGGACTCTCTAGTATTATAAAAGAGAAATCAAATTTCATGATAAAGTGGCTTGTTATGAAATCTAACGAAAAGGGTCTGCCGATCAATCATCCTAATCCAGTAATAGCAAATGATGACGTAAGAACAAAGTTACTATAGGAGTTGAAACAAATAGGGTACTTGGGAAATTGATCGATCTATCGCGCACAGACTAACTAGTTATGATTTCTACTCGAATGTGTCGAGTGCGTTAATAAAAAGCCATACTATTTCAGGTGGGTCAATGAAATGTTGCAACCTCTATGATTTTGTATGACTTCTTCCAACGGACTGAGCTGCTTGTTTCATTTTACTGCAAAATTATGCTTTTATTTTCTAAAGCGTCTTAAATAAGTTGAGGGTTCATGGAAATAATGCGTATACCTTTTAGTATCTTTTTATTGCCTGTCGTCTGCATTTCATTTTAGTGTACAATTAAATTCTTTAAATAATGATTGTAAATAAAGTGACTTGTGCAGAAGTTTAAACAGAGTTTTGCGTGAACGTACGTTTTGCTATGTATGCACTGTATTCTATTTCTGTGGGGCTAATCTATCGCACAGCACGAAAGACCGAATGTATCCACTGGACTGACAGTAGAGACCCCTAATTTTCCAGCAATTAGGCCCCCGGGCATCCCAATTTGTCACTTTTTGGACAACTTTTGGTCATTTAGCATGTTTTCTGTTAAAACATCCTTACCGTATTCCGTGAATGCATCTTCACGGTTTGCACATACCGTCATCATTAAGCGGAAATCGGTATTTGGAATCACTGGAATGTAGAAAGCAGGCAGAAGGAACATTTTAGCTCCGTTACATCCCAGGCATAGCAGCTTGTGGCGCAACCGCACTCAGTTGGTTAGGTTGTCCCAGTAGCGTACGAAACAACAGGTTATTTGCAAATTAACTAAGCTTCAGTTCACTAGTCCTTTAAAACATTCCTCTGTTTGCGCGTTAACGATGGAATCAGGCAGGGAGTTCCAGTCTTTCACCACACGAGTTGATAGGGTAAAATCAGAACAAAACTGGTGTCACCTGGTTTTAAACATTTTCCAGCAGTGGCCCCGGAACGAACACACAGTGTAAAGCTGGAAGCAACCTTGGAGCCCTTTTCCCACCTCAACTTGCAGAATGCGCCAGGCGTAGATAAGATCACCTCGGCTACGGAGATATTCCAAAGGGAATATATTTAACTTTGGAACTGAATGGGATATGGCAGGCGTTGCAGCCTAAAAGTGCACTTAGGAGCGCGCCGCTGAATTTTCTAATTGGAATCATTGGTACCGTTGGAAAAGGAAGGAAAGACCTTTGTCAACTTCATCACCACCCAAACATGGCAGGTGCTTCGCAAGAACAATTAACAACTTAGATTGTCACAGTTGCATAAGAAACAACAGGATTCCAGCAAATTCAACAAGTATAAGTCCAACAATCGTTTTAGAAAACTTCCACAGGATGCGCGTTGAGGATAGAATCAGGCAAGGAGTTCCAGTCGTACACCACATGAGTCAATAGGCTATTATCAGAGTGAAGTCTGAATCTTTTAGGTATAAACAGTTTTCAATCTTGGCCCCGAGTCGCACATCCAGTGTAAATCTGGAAAAAATACTGGAGCTCGATTCGCATCTAACCTCGCAGAATGTGCCGAGCGTAGATCAGATCGCCTCGGCGAAGCCGATATTCCAGAAAGAATATATTCAAGTGCTGGGGACGAATGTGAGACGGTAGGTGTCGGAGCTTAAAGATGCACTTAGAACTGTGCCGCTGAAATTTTTCAGTCAAGCCATATTCAAGTTTTGTATGCGGATAAACTGCAGGTAATCTATATTCGAGGATCGGACGCACATGGGTGTAAAACACAAGTCTGAAATTCCCGGCGTCAGTCGTGAGGAGGCTTGGGATGGAGCACAGTAGCCTGTTAACCGCGGCAACTCTCGTCAAGGTACCTTGGAGGGTTTTAGATCAGAGCAACACTAAGATACCTTTCTTGTTTCACGCCATTAAGCAAACAACCACCAAGATTGTAAACATCGAACGGTTCAGCAGTCCTAATGGGGAGTACAGAAACTTTATCGCCACTTACAAGCAACCGGAATTTAATTCTTAAACGATGCATGTTTAAACTGTTAAGCGGATGAACGGCGGTATTCCATATTCATGGATTAGAGACACATGAGAGGAACAAACACAAATCTGCAAATTTCTGACGTAGTCGGAAAACTCTTCAGGTAGAGCACAGTAGTCCTCTGGCCGCGGCAACCGTCATCCAAGTATTTTGGGTTGTTTTTAGATCAGTGAATATAATACCTCCAAGGTACCTTTCCTGTTTCAACTTATTAAGTAACCACCCGCTAATGTAATAAACCCCGAAAAGTTTCGTAGCGCCAATAAGGAGAAAAGAATCTTTATCACAATTTATAGGTAACTGATACTTAACTGACTAATCATGCAGCAAGTTAAGTGTAGTTTGAAATGGGTCGGCATCCTCAGAGCTGGACACCTCTATCCAAAACATTCATTCATCAGCACAGATCAATCATTTGGCCCGGAAGTTGTATAAAGGCCGCAACCAAAGCAGTTAAACAACTCTGGTCTAAGAACACAGCACTGAGCGATGTCACTGCTTAGAAGGACGGGGGCTGCATACATCTCATTGAGCTTGACTCACACAACACATACTGAAAGGAAATCAGTGATCCTAGTAAGTACCCACCAGGAGGAGAGCATTCCTTGAAGTTTAAACAAAAACCGCTCATGCAAAACGTTGTCACGCCTTGCTGAAGGCAACGTAAATAACGTCCACAAGTTTGCCCGCATCCAGTGCGTTTGTCCATTTCTACCTGGCCACAAGCAAATTTGTGGTACCCAAAACGTGACTTACGAATGTCACGCCGATGTGCAGAAAGCACACTCTGATGTTTGCAGTAAAGGCTGAGAGCCTTCTTAAAATCCCGTCCTACGATTTGACACAGTACAGATTTTAAACAAAGCGGACGGTATTGCGCCTGGTTTTGGCGATTCCCTTCTTTATGTAGGAGCTCGCCGATGCCCAGCTAGCAGGCTACTGGAAGGCATCCCACTTTAATAGATCAGTAGAGCATATGACAAGCAGGGTATGAAAGATAATTGGCCGCAGTCTTGGGAAATAGAGTATGCAGGCCTTCAGAACTGTGCGAGGTGTTTGGATCTAACTGGACAAAGAACTGCGTAACAGTTTCCATACGGATCTTTACATGACCCAACAAAGATGAACACAAGCGTGCGCGATTAAAAGATGTAGTTAGATCTAAATAAATCGATAAACACTGTTGAGTTAAGAGCTTTGCTTGTACAACTTCTTCATAATGTAAGGCAGCACATTTACTGGAATACAAAGAGGAACTGCCGTTAACATGTTTGATGCCTTTTTCAGATATGAGAAGGGCGATTCACCTGCTTCTTCAGACTACAAAGGTTTCTAAAGGTTTTGTATTACAATCTTTCGGACGTCGATTGTTTACATTTAAATCGGTCCCATAATTTGCATCTATTTTTACCAGAAAACTTAACCGTTTGTCGTTCCAAGATGAAGCATTTGTAGGACCTCTTTTTAGAAATGGGTACAACTTGACTTCTAAGCGACACCGTTTTAGAATAAAAGTACTTCCACGCGTGGTCAAGTGTCAGAACATTATGAATGGTTCAGTCCATGTCATAATCAGCTTCCTGCAGACGCTGCGGATCGGCTGGTCATAAATTACGCAGGAACTCATTTGAAGCATGAATGGAAACGCAACATGTCCATCGCAAATAAATAGCACAGTGATCTCTTTTACCAAATAGTTGCATAACAACCAGGTCAGTAACATCTGACAGTGTCGCAGAGAACACTAGATTAAGAATGTGCGGCTTGTGGCCTAAGAACAAAGGAGTGCGGGGATAACCATGCTGACATACGTTACATTAAACAGCACCATAAGAGTAAGAAGAATTATCCATATGAAGCATGTCACACTCCATGCCAGATGCACTAAAATCTTCAACAATTAAGTATTTATTATCTTTGGTGTGCGAGTTAATTATATCTAGCAAAAGTGCTTCTGTACCCAATGCAGATCCAGCTCCACAGACCAGGAAAGATCTACACCCATCATGAATACAAAATCATAGAGCTTCAAAGCATCCATCTATATTAAAAGTATCATCAAGTACTTACGTCTTGGAGCCTTACCTCCCACAAAGTAGCACGCCACCACTTGATCTCGCTCCTTGATGAGCAGCCCTGGAGAAGTGATGACCAGGTAAATATACCTCCGCGTCACATATATCCAGAGACAGCCACGTCATAGCGAAAACTAACAAGTTAGGGTGATTATCAAAGGCAAGAAGTTGAGCCACCTTTAATGTTCCGCAAACTGCGCACCTTAGCGTACAACACCCGCAAACCGTACCTCGACCTTAATGCTCTGGTAGGACAAGGATTTGCCTCCCACCAATTTTCAGGGTTTTCCGAACCACACGAAAATCCACAATGTGAAGGTCCGTTACACCAGTTGTCTGGCGGGTTCGGAGTTCAGCAAATGCACTTTTCATTGTTATCCGATCTTATGGTAGCAGACCTCTCGGAACATAAAACGATTCTCCTTTAAGGCCTGGAGTGCGTTGGAGCATACGAAGGTATTCTTCGTCGTCTTGGCATACGATCTTGAGAAAATGATACTATGTAGACTTTCCCGGTTTTCTGCCAATATGAAAGCGAGCGAGCATTTATCCCTGGTTTACTCTTATCAAACAGCAGTGACACAATCCGTGTTAAAAACGCTTTATCGTCTAAGGTTCATCCAGCTGGCGTTGCTTTGGAAGACTTCAGCACAATTACAACTATAAAGCAGCGATCATGACAAGGTCGATATGAAACTTTAGATGCCTGATGCTTAGAAGCAATCGATCTGCCCTTAAGCAAATTTTCCAACTGGGTGATTTTATCAAGAACTTGATTAATCTGTAATTGCAAAGTGGGCTCGGAATGGACACTGGACTATGCTTTTGACTTTGCTTCTCGTGTATATGAGTTACGACTCCCAGACGGCTCCGCGACTTCTTGCACCACGGACGTAATTAAGCGATACTATACCAATTTCTACCTATAATACTATAACCGTTAGGCCAAACTGGTAACGCTTTTGAGTGCTTTTAATTCATCCAATGGACGCATTTGGGAGGTCGTTTCATTGACCATCACCATTTTCTAACGT